CGCGTGCGAGTTGGCGAAGGGTATTAACTAAATATTTGAGGAGCAACGCAACCCGGCTATACGTCCGCGTAATGAAAAGATCCAATTTAACGACGTAGCAAACGGTCAGAACGAGCTTTTATCGCGATTGTCATGACATGTCAAGATGTTGGTTATTTGACCAGGAACGTTCCTAATAATTTACAGACGTTTCGGCAAATTTGGGAGAGCTAAGTCTTAATTTCCTTAAAAGGTCTCGCAATGGTCGAATAAAGCCGAAAAAAGATAAAAAAATCACGAAAAAAAATGACAGCAGCATTTTTTAAGAGGAGCAGCTAATTATTTCTGGTGAAATATTAGCTTTAAATGATTGAGAATTAAGTGTTTTCCATCATGTACTGCGATTTATAGTGATTCATAGGTAATTGACCTAGAATTTGTAAAGGATTCAATCAGCTGCTTACGTATTTGTCACATAATCACTTTTTTGAATCCAAAACCATCTCGCAGTGAATGGATCGATTTTATACCAAGAACATGGTGATGGCCTAGCTAAATTTTCAGATTTAAAAATAAATATTTAAGCAGATAATTAACAAATAACATCAATCAAAATTAAACATTTATAGTGCTTCGCTAAATCGTCTGTCTCCATAATACTATATACTATACACTATAAAGTTTACCACTAAAAGTTAAACGAGCAGTTTGGTCTCTTTGATTTCCATTTCTTTGTTATAATTCTTAATAAACTCGTTAGTTGCCAATTTAATTCAACTTACCGAGGTTCAAAATTGCTCCGCTTCCAAGATACAACACGATATACAAGGTATAATAGATAGATTTTTTTCAATTTGATGTACTCTTTTGAACTTAGTGATTTTTGGTATCTGAGAGTATTTTTGGATACGAAAAGTGAATATAAACACACGAAACACACGTATTCCCTGTGGCCGCCAGAGGGCGCTCCATACTGCATTCCTAAATAATCGTAACTTTTATTTCTCAGTGGTTTTTTAAGGAACTGACCTCATTATTCTTCATTGTCGAGATATTTCGACATTTCATTCTTAAAATTATTTTGAATAAAAAAATTCTTAGATATTAGCTTTGGGGATTCAATTTTCGGCAAACAAAAATGGTTTCACTTAGTCACAGTAAAGTGTTGTACAGAAATTTGGACTGGATGGATTATTAATTCAATGAGCAATACTTTTATTTCAAATCTAAAGTACGAACTCTAGAAAAGTATCTTAAAAAATCAATTTGGCATAACCCAACAAATTTCTCATATATTTTTTTCAAAATTATTTGAATGTACTTTCACATACACTAAAAAAATACACTGAGAAAAGGGTTGTGACCATTCGAAAGCACCCTCTAACTGCCGTAGTAAAAATTTGTCCGTCTAATTTTTAAAATACGAATTTTGAAAATGAGCACTTTCGGACCAAGTTAAGAGATACTTTGTTCGTGCCATGTTCTCAATAACTTTTTGTCATTACAAAAATCGATCTACAATTTAGGCAAAAGGCAAGCGATCAGAGAAGGGAACAATCGACTATGCATTTTTCTATTGACAAAAAGTTTTTAGGCCCACACTAGATATGATTCTGACACAAAGTTTCTTATTTTGTCCTATATTTTAGCAATATTGTATATTTACTACACTACACTTTTCCTAAAAATCTGCGCCGTTCGACTCCATCGCAGGGCAAATTGAGAAAATCAGAAAGTCACTAACCTTCGCGGTTCGAGCAAATATGAAGTTAAGAGCCGTGTATTTCATTATCCGTTCCACAGGCATGAAGCGAATGTTGCCCGTGTGGAATAATTTCGAAAGGGTAAACAAATCCGGTGCGAACGAACGCCGGCGATAGGACATTTTGCAGGATGGATCGATAAAATACGTAGGGCCCTATCGGAACCTGCGAGCCTGCCAGACAATTTTAGCGAGGAAATAATATAAAAGGGAGCCAAATGAAATTTCGCCTGGCGTTTTCATCCCGTTTCGGTGTTTTTACTTTTTTGTGTATGAATTTGATTTTATACTTGTACGAGTTCTCTCTAATTTGGAAAAACAAATTTAAAATTTGGGGAATTTCGCTATTCAAATTGCAGTACCAGTTCTGCAGCAATCCGTATTGCTCTATAAACCGAACATTTTCAAAATTTTAAGGTGAAACGGACGTTAAACCTTTTGAGAAAACCATAAAATTTTTCCTATCGTAATACATTTGGAGCGACATAAAGATTTTATTTTATTTAGCAATAAGTGGGACTCATAATTAGCTGTTCTGTCTGGAAAATATAAAATATTAGTCCAGGTAAACCCAAACCGTTAAACGGCAGCAAATTTTGGGGACCCTAGATCCACGATTTCTCATATAAAAAAAAATACAAACAAAATAAGTGTCAAAATTATATCGGATATGCGCTCATTAGAAAAATGCCGAGAATCATGAAATCGAGGCTGCCTTATATAATTGCTTTTTATATCTTTAAGACCATGGGCGAAGCATTTTTTATATTTTTGTAACGTTGGAATAATTTTCTTGCGTTTTTACTTTTTTTAATATATACAGTCATCGTTTTATAAAATAAAGGTACTTGTACATTGTACATTTATATAAGTAATTTTGCGATTTTTATTCAAAATATAAATAGTTCCAGTCCAATAATGTCGTTAAAGAAAATCGTCTATTCGTAATGGTTTCATCCTAAATTTTCGGGAAAGATGAGAGCAAATTGGATATAGTAATATGTATACCTGTAATAACTGTTTTCATTTGAAGTTATTTTACTTTATTTTTCTAAACACCTTTCAATCGGAAATCATGGACAGAAATTACAAAGCTGAGACATCCTGTCCACAAAATATTATTATAAGGAAGAATTTTTTTGCTGATGTAAAAAAATATTAAGAAACTCTATTTTACTTACAATTAAATTTGATATTTTATCACCAAATCATATACTAACAACAACTGCCTTGCGAGATGGAAAGTTTGTGGGCACAATCATCATCTAACATATCCCAAAATCACAAAATCAACCGATCTTATTATGCCTCTTAGGTACAGCCTAACAACTTTCTGCGACATGTAATAAGATAAAAAAGATTCAAAAAAATTACTTTTATTCCAGAGACATCAAATTAAAAAATAAAAAATGTGCGACGGAAACCTGTTTTTATACGGTGAATTTATGAAGGCAAACTTACCGGGCTAATTAGTCACACCGTAATGTCTGGATATTCTAGTTAGTGTTTTTATGCTTCTCTGTTTTTGACACTTATTTTTTATATTCAAGATTTACTAACATTTTAATAACATAACATCATCTTTAGTACCATAACACCCATGGGCGTGCCACTATTAAATCTCAAAAATTAGAGTTGTACTAAAAACATCGGGTGTCTTCTAAATTGTTAATTAATTTCCGCTGCTGTCATAAAATTTTAACAGTGCGTCTTTCATTTACTTTTACGAACACATTTGCGGTTTCATGCAAATCCTCGTAAAAAATCAAATTATTATAACAAATTTTCAACATTTCTGTATTGAAGCGGTAATATCCAAAAATAGACGACGATAAACAACAATAATAATCGTTTTTAACAAATTGGCAATACGGTCAAAGCGACCGAGCGAGGGCGACCTCGACAGTGACGTTCACCTTTACGGAAAAAGTTTTCTCTCTTTGTGACTTACGGGCAGTGGAGGCGCGTCACTTATTTTATGAATAAAAATTGCCGGAATCGAATCAAGCGATCCTATTTTGAGGGCTGCGCTCTGAGGTTAATGCACATCCTGACATTTAATTTAGTCGGTAGAATAAAAGGGCGAAACTCGCATTTTCGTGGCCCTATATACGAATGTCATATTTATTTGGAACACAGAAACACCACCCTCACCGAATTGACGAACCCAAATATTGAAAATAATTTAAACGCATAGTAATACCCACCTAACAATGACCTGAAAGACAAAATTATGTTAAATGGAACTTGCTGGACACTCGAAACAAAAATAGCGTTTTCGTTTATTGAATATGGTAAACCAGACCCAAAATTTCTGTTGCGCTGACTTTTTTTTTACACAAATTTCACTAAAGCCTCCGAACTACACAGAAAAGGAATCGGTGCAGTTTTTGATACCCTTTTTATCAGAAAATCTATAGTTTGTAGGTTTTATTTAATATTTTTCAAACTTTCATCAAAATAACTGTCGTCATCACTTAATGGATATCCAAAAATTAGATCTTTGTATATCTGCCCTTGTACGCTATAAATGGTGACAAATATAATATTAATTATACTCTAAATATATTTTATTTTTACAAAAAAGAACCTCTGGGAATAATTCAGTTTTACTTCTTAGTTTCGAGTGCCAAGCAAAAATTAAATATATCACGTGAATCCCTGAAAACCAAAAGCACAAAAATTTAAACCAAACATACCACGTAAATTAATAGCTGTTACAAAATTTTACAGGTTTTTATTGTTATTATTGCCTGGGAAAATAATCGTTACATTGAGTACTTTCGGTGAAACTAACCAAAAAAAAAAAAAAACGCAGAATATTTTTGTCAAAAGTTGTGAAACCTAATAAAGTATCAACCATCAATCTGGAACTTCTATTTAGTTATTTATTGTGCGATACTTAGTGATTAATTAATGTGTATCTTAAATATTCTATTATTTCAAATACCTTTTTCAATAGCTTTTCCCTTTTTATGACAAAAATGTTGTAGTAAAAAGTTTTGGTAAGGGATAATTCGGGTTTTAGATTCCGTTGTTCTAAGCGAAAATTAATTAAATAAATTTACAGTTAACTTGTTGTATGTTTGATTATAATAGATATATATATATATATATATATATATATATATATATATATATATATATATATATATATATGTAATTATATAGTACGTTTTTATTTTCACAATGTGCGTAACCGCTAAAGTTTAATTTTTTTGATTTCACAAATATTAGTAATTCTTGTTTGACTACTAACCTGCTCTCACGTTGACGTCTCTGGAATGAATCGAACCGATGCTGTTTTTGGCTAAACAGGCGTAAATTTGAGCGTGAACTTCTTGGCGATAGTCTTCCGCCCTAAAGGGTGGAAACACCAAATTTCCGTTGGCAAGGACTTGTCGTAAACCTGGTACGTCACCCACCGCGGTACCATCAGATCGGACCTAAGTTTAATAATAACAAAATTAAAATTGAAAATTAATTATCACACATGGGACCGCAGAATAGAAGATTGAAACCTAAGGTAAAACTACTAGATGCAACTTTTTTTTAATATCCAAAAATGTTGGTTAAAAAATGTTTTATCGAATTTAACAGCACTTTTTAACATGCAAAGTTTTTACAAACGCCCTCTAGAGGCCAAACGGTTGTAGATAGCCAAGTTTCGTTTGAAGCAGCGAGTTTTTTTGTATAATTGCAGACCGGGAAGCGAGGGTGGAAAACTTTCTCTTCAAATAAGTCGTGTTCGTACAAGACCCAACCTGTCTTAAAATGTATTCAATTAACTCACCCAAATAATATCCGGAGGCGGGTTACCACTAGCGCTGCATTCGACTACGGCTCCGGTAGTGTTGGAAAAGTCTACTCGATTGGGGGGTTCCTTTAGGAAAACTGGTCCGGCAGTGTCATCTTCAGCATTCGCGCTGAAGATGACGAGGGATATAAGTAGCACCACCAAGTGCATGGTGTCTGGCGAGTAAGACACCTCGGTTGTGGTCTGAAGCACACCTGGAAACGATCAAATTTGCAGCTATTTATTATATCTATTATATCTATACAACTAAAAATCCAAGAACACGCTGTTTTATATGAGCGGATTTCAGATTACACTTAGAACATTTACTCGCTATTGTGGCTCCCTGCATAATTGTGGACCACATTTTCGTTTTTTTGAACAACAAAATATTTTAATTAGTGTTGGGACTGGTCATTGACCGTGGTCAATTGACAGTCAATTGACCACCTCTTAAGTGACCGGTTAATTGACTAGTCAAATTCGATCAAAATGTTTTTGATAACAATTGTAGAGTGTCATCTATCAACTATTTTTACACCTATACAACCAAAAACACATTAGAAATGGCAATCCCAAGGATACGCTGTTTTATATGTGTGGATTACAGATTACACTTAGAAGAATTACTCGCTATTGTGACTCCCTCCATAATTGAGGACTACATTTTCGTTTTTTTGAGAACAAAGTATGTTAATTAGTGTTAGGACTGGTCATTGACCGTGGTCAATTGACCACTTCTTAATTGACCGGTCAATTGACCGACAACTGATTACTTCTTAATTGATTAGTCAAATTCGATCAAAATGTTTCAAATAGAGTGTTATCTAACATTCCTTAATAACGCGATAGCGATGTAACTCACAATATAAATAAATAAATATAAATTTCATTGTGTTTTTAAAATTACTTCGGTCATTTGACACAAAAAAAAATTGACAACCCAAATTTTGATAAATAAACAGTTAGAACAAATTAAGGTCAACTCGAACTCTTGAATACGAATAATTTTATAAAAATATTCATGAGGGGGGAACAATTCTGGGATTGAATTTAACCTCGCGTAGTATTCGGTAAGGAAATTTCATACCAAATTTTGTTTGAACTTCGGGTTTTGGCAATGTGTAATTTTTTCCTTTGACAAGAGAACAGGATCATTATTCTCTCTATTCCGTCTTTTGTCCGATTGAAAACCGTATTCTTGAACAAAAGAGAACGGACGAAAAAGCGGAGAACACACAGCACCTGGCCAATCCAGTGCACTAGGAATTCTGTTTGTGTCTTAACATTATGCCACCGAGATGCTTGTTGTAGTGCTAAGCTAGCATAAAATAATCAAACTCTAACTTAATGTATCAACATCAGCGTGAACTAAAAAGTCTCAATAAGTTGTGAAATTTGCTAAAGCTATGCACTATGCATTACTGTAACTAGTCGGTAAAACTTCGTAAAGATTTCCTTTAGGTCAAAAAAAGAAGCAAATAGCGCACTATTAAAAAGACCAATTTGAATTTTTAAAATCTACTGGTGCAAATCTGTTAAATGTTTAAGAGAATAGAGATCATGAATCTATTTTTGTACTGTTCAGCATAATTGGACGTGCGTTGAAATATTTCGCAAATACAAGTTTTCCACTTAAACGGGATAAATATCATTATATACCTGAACTCTTCGTGAGCTAAATTAAAAGAGGAAGGAACGTAATTTCACACGTGCGCATATTACATTGCAGCAAAGGTTTCCTTTCCGATCTCTCTCAAAGAGTTCCGTCACGCCACCTGAAGACAAGGACTATCCTATGAACCGATAAAGTCATTTATAAATTATAATCGTGGCACGTATTTTCATTTAACGGGTCCACAAACCGGAAATGAAATTCGTATAAAATTGTCGCTACATAGGCCTAAGTACCTACCTATGTGGGAATAGAAAAAACTCAGGGATCATCTATTTATCAAATATTTGTTACATGTTACATTTGTTAATATTATAAAAAAATAATTATTCAGAAAGGTATAACAATATCAATTTTCGAATATCCTAGAGAGACTATTAGGCAAAATAACACTGGCAACACGTCAAATACAAAGTGCAGTTAAAATAATAAAATGTGAAGTCAAAGTTTTTGAATACATATCAGTTAAACCATTCAAAAAGGTAGTTTCTGTTTAACTTTCTATTATTAACACAAATAACGCAATTTTAGATACAGTGGCGCGGTCAATGTCTAAAAAAGTGCTAATAATAATTAATTAATTAATTAATAAAATTCGTGGTTTTAGCACCGACAAATAGAAACAAAACTGTTGAAAAATCTCACCAATGCTATGTGCCCCATTGGCTGAACTAAAGTGTCTCTATTAGGGATATTTATTTTACTTAAACCGCTGATAAAATGCGGGATATATACAACGTGCTCTTGCACTAAATAAAATAAGGCAGTATTTTACCATATTTTCACCCGTATGAAAATTTGTACCAGGGTGCTTTTTGATAACCTTTGAAACTTTCGTATTTGTTTTGGATCGCGACGCCAAAGATTTTTGTATGAATACCCGAAAAAATAAATAAATAAGGTGCCCCAATCTCTACGAGAAAAGCATTGTTTGTTTAAAAATTAAGATGCGCTTAATCTATGTATACCTGCTACCCGAAAATTTATTGTAGGTGTGGCACACTATATCGGAGAATTACTTTATCGCAAGATAAAACTTATCTTTTTTTATTTTTACCAAACTTCATAAATTAAAAGAGTCGTTCTGAGAGTAAAAATGAAGTCGCTGTACAAACAACTATTTCAATTCAAATCCGAATGTTTTAACATATGGAAATATGTACCCAGTGTTTGTTTATATTTTGCACCAAAATCAAAATCAATGAAAAGACAGCTCAAAATGCATTGTTTTAAATATAACACTCAGTTTCACTCATCGTGATCATAAAATTTGCACATATTATCTTTAGCCGTTTCTAAAATATTCCCATTTAGAGTAATAAATTCGCACAATATCAGTTGTTTCTTCTTCTGAGTCATAACAATAACTAAGATATTAATAAGTTTGTCAAGAAAGTTGCGATATATAAATATGCAAATAAATGAATATTAACGGAATACATGGCTATACAGATTTAATTTAGTAATCTTTACATTTAAATTTAAATTTAGTAAAAATTATTTTCAAATAAATTATAACATATTGCGCGTTAGATTTAAAACAATGCAAGTTATGTAATTTTGATAGATTTGCAACTTCGTTTTTTTGATTCTGTAATTATCAAAAGATAATAGATTAAAGACCATATCTTTTTAAAGTTTCTTTCTAACTCTTCAAGATTTGGTTAAAAACATGGTGCAAAATATAAAGAAATGTTCTATGCATACCTATCAAAGAATTCCACTAATAGGATGGCAAAATATTTCATAAATATAGATTGTCATCCATTAAAACATACTTCCAATTTTAGAACACTTCGCTTTGTTAAATTCTTCAGAACTTTTAATAGGATTCGCAACGTGGATCGCCCTGTATAATAACATCGTAAAAAAAAAAACAAACAAATCTTAAAATAATCATAGGTTTAACTGTTTGTAGGTGTTAATTGGTAAACCACGGTTTAAACTAAACAAATAGGAAAATTCGCTTTAATGCAATTTCCAATTCGATTTTCAGTTGCAATAACGATTCGCAAACTCGCAGTCAAAAAATCGACAAGCAAAACCGAGTCAACCGGATAGTTTCAAGGTTGTGTCTAAACAAGTGGCTCATCTACAAATATTTGAATAAATTTGCATCACATGTGGGCATGGCTAATTTCGCACACAGACTTCCTGCATTCGGAACTCGTAATGTTAGTGTTCGGTCGTTGCCAATTAAAACATGTTTGATTTATATCCATCAGCTTCCAGAATAAACGCCGATAAAAAAATAGGCATACAAGTGATACATCAATAATCGCTGATAATGTTTCTACCTGATAATTCTATTCTATGCCCCAGAGTAGAAATGTTTTTCATATATACAGGGGAAAGGTAAATATTTTCTGATCCCGATGGCGATTTTATTATTCGATTTATAATACGAAACGCTTACTGAGATGGTTAATAGTTATATTTATGGTAATCAAATATGCATATAGCTTTAAAATTGACCTTTTAACCAATAGGAACTCTGTTTTGGTTAGTCTGTTTTAGGGTTAACTATAAGGCATATTTCAAACTGATGCAATAGGAAATTAAATTTGCCAAGTTACGATTGTTTATGCGAATGGTTGCAAAATTTTCATCTTGGAACAATATGTTTGTTCATATTCACCGTGACGTAAAAGATTTTTAACAGAAATGAAACCAGTAATATAAGCAGGTATGAGAGCTGCATGTCACGTAGGGATAAACCTTAAGATTTTAAAAGAACAGACGGCAGGTGTTCGAACAGCTGCTCTGCTGATGAAAACCCGCATCGGTTGGGACCACTGTTAAGAAAGTGCCGGACAACTCTCAGTAGTTAAATAAGAACAATGATTAAAGCGCAAGCGCAATAAAATCAGTGACTAGATCAATAAAAAAAAATTGCAAAACAAATATTTTTATTGGCCTATGTCACATTTCCCACTCGATATTTCAAATATGGACCAACATAATTTTTTCCCTTAAGTAGCTGGATTGACTTCTGACTATGGAAAATCCACCCGCATACGGTCACTAATAAGTGAGACAACCAAAGGGGTAAGAGATACAGAATAGATTACCTCATTTTTTTGTTTCTTTTATAACTTTCCTTTAAATGACAATTTTACCAAGCCACAGTTACACTTTTGTAATAGATTTATATATAAGTATATCAAAAAATATTTTTAAAACAATTTTAATCTATTTAATAAAACGTGCAATAAGTGCGTAGGTGGTTATTTAATGGCATACAAATCAAATATAGGGTATCTAATTATGTTTAAGTTTAACTTTTTTTTAAATAGCAGATAATTGCAAATTTAAATTTAATTAATATTATCAAAACAATTAAAAGGCTTTAATAAATAAAGGAATATTAAATTCATATAGTATAAATACATATACTTAATGTTTATATATTTTTTCTTATATAACCTCGTAATCGCAATTCTTACGCTTATTACTGATACTAACAACTGGGGATGAAATGTCAATGTGAAAAAATCAATATCCGCATCAGCAAATTATTGGAAATTAATTATAATTTAATGATATTGCCTGAGTCATAGCTTGTAATATTCCTATTAAAATGCTCAAACTTTATGGTACATCAGTAATCGAGAAAAATGGCAAGCAGGAAACTCTCAAAAAAGGCGTTGCTCTGTTCCCATTGAGCGCTCTTCGACTCTAGTCTCCTGCCATTTTGCACCACGAAGCTTACTCACTCGATCATAAACGGTTAGGAGCACAACGACAATACATTTTAATTTAATCCAATTAATTGAACTTGCTAAACCTTGCAACGTGTGTATATTTATTTGCCAAGAGATAAAGTTATAAACAAATATGCCGGGCTTGAACGGGTAACGTTGTAATAAACAGAGTGTACGAAAAATGTGTTTTCGTGGGTCACTCAGTATAATACGTAGTACCATAACCTACGCCCTAACAAAGATGAGCTATTTTCAGATATTCTTTGATTAAAATATGACTCAAGCATCCAAAATATTTGTGGAAACGCGGACGCTGGATGCAGAATGAAAACCAGCGGAATTCAAAAAGCCGGCATTGCGGGAACATTTTTTTAGACTTCTTAATATTTTTCTTTTTGTAAAAACGACACTCACCCTTATCTCTAGGTATATTTTTTTTAATTCGCACAATCCAATACACCGCCAAACTAAAAAGCACCACTACTCAAACTAAGCGGCAATATGACGTACCGACAAGGAGGAGCAAAAGCACAGGACTACCAATCGAGTGATCAAAACAAATGCAACGCCTAGTCGGAAAACGCCGAACGCCCGACGGCGAACACGAACAAAATTTTAAAGCTCGATAAAGTTCGCGTAGCACTGGTTGCCTAAATGAGGAAACGTTGGTGGTTGCCTACCAACTAAAATGGGTCTAATAAAGTAAAGACAAGGTGGAAGCAGTAAAAACTTTTTATTTCATTTGATTTGAAGAAACCTCTCTTAGATAAAAAAAAATTAAGTAGCCAAAAACGTTGTCTTCTGAAAACAAAAGGAGCACCTGCTGTTTTTGAAAATTTAAATTTCTTAATTTTTATTACATAAAATGAGTTAAATGAGTAGCTACAGATGCGAAAATAATACTCACATACCCGCCCAAATATCACATCAATAGGTAGGTAATAATTTAAGATATAGATTTTCTGTTAAAAAGCTTATCCTGCTTATACATATACAGATCTGTGTTTTGTATCCGAACTCAGCATAATGCTGAGACACTCATTTGTTAAGAAACTTCGTTCAATTTACCTAGTCGGTAAGATATAAAAATAAGGAAAATAGGCAAATTTGATCTGATCGCTATTACAGATTATAAAATTTTATATAAACTGAGATTAGCAAGTACATCACTAGCGTAAATTATACAATTATTTCCCCAATCTCAGCCTCTTTACATCTAGCCATAAATTAAAAATATTAAAACATATAAAAACCATCCTTCTTTAAGGTTATGTTCAACCAAAGATCACATATTCTTAGATTTCATATTTAAATTCCTCGTAACTAGTGGACCAATATTAACAACATATTAATTTCAGGATTTCTTATTAACCAAAATTACTTTATCGATTGGAAGAAAAGTGGCTGATATTCTATGAGTCGATATTATATCATTTGAGCATATTTTATCCGTGACCCAATGTATGAATAGAAGGACCTGTTATCTTGATTATTATAAATAAAAGATTTGCATATTATTTTTAAATAAAGGGTGAGAGGAAAAATAATTATATATATATATATATATATATATATATATATATATATATATATATATATATATATATATATATATATATATATATATATATATATATATATATATATGAATATCCGTATGGATTATGCAAATGATTAAAATAACGAATTATTTACCCAAGAAACCTATATATGTATAAGTCCAGTTATTAGATGGAAAATAATTCCGATTGTCAAAATCTGATGTTGGAACTACTTTAGTCCGACTAGATAACGTTTACTGGTTCACATTTAAAGGGTACAGTCAAAAATGATAATTTGTTTATATATAGTTTAATAGCTTAAAATACACAGCGCGAAGAACATATTGAGCTGACAATCCGGATTTTATTAATTTGTAACTCTGTTGGTTTTCATTCATTTCATTTGGGGTTTGCAATTTTAAAACTATAGGTGAGGAAACACAAACCCTTAAACAAAATAGACTTTACTATGAAGGACATGGAACTGAAAATTAACAGAATTTGTATGAGGAAGTTGTTACCATTTTCTGTAATTTAGATTTTTTTTATTATCATAAATCATCATAATTAAAGGACAAAGCAAATGTTGATGTAAGTTATTCAGCATTTGGCATTTATTTACTGCTCTAAAACGCCAAAGTAACAGCAATTTCCAAAAAATTAATTTTATTTGCATTTTTTTCAGTGCCACATTTTTGCCAGAGCAAATGATTTACCTTACATTCATTTGTAAACACTAACAAGAAAGACAATATAAATTATTAAAACAAGTTGTGATAGCCAAAAACTTCAATAGGAAAAAATTTAATTGTCGGTTTATAACAAAAAAAAAGGGGTAAAAGTATACAAACTAGAAAATTGTTATTGTTAACACCTAAAAATATCAGTAGCTTAATTTTTAAAGTTATAATAAAAAAAAACTGTTCATGCCATGGAATTTACACAAATGAAACATGAACAACTGCTGTTCTTAACAGTCATTTGAAATTTATTTAATTACATAAGGGGAAAATTGTTTAGAAATCCTCATCGTCATCCGGCAAGGCAGTTTCCTGGGCTTTTTTGAGGTCGTCCTCGATTTGCTGCTGCCAGTGGGGGTCCATTTGTACTTCTGGAGGTACTAACGCAGGCATGGCCACAAATTCTAAATTAGGATCTCCAATCAGTTTTCTTGCAAGCCAAAGGAAAGGTTTTTCAAAGTTGTAATTTGACTTGGCCGAAATATCATAATACTGGAAAACCAAACATTCATTTAACAAATCAAATGAAAAACAAATAACACAGTACCTGCAAATTCTTCTTTCGGTGGAATACAATGCTCTTGGCTTTAACTTTCCTATCCTTTATATCAACTTTATTGCCACAGAGTACAATTGGTATATTTTCACATACTCTGACGAGATCTCTATGCCAATTCGGTACATTTTTGTAGGTTACTCGAGAAGTTACATCAAACATGATAATAGCACACTGCCCTTGAATATAATATCCATCGCGTAAGCCACCGAACTTTTCTTGCCCCGCTGTATCCCAGACATTAAATCTAATGGGCCCTCGGTTTGTATGGAATACTAAGGGATGCACTTCCACACCTAATGTTGCTACATATTTTTTTTCGAATTCACCAGTTAAGTGTCTCTTAACGAATGTAGTTTTGCCTGTACCGCCATCTCCTACAAGTACACACTTGAAAGTGGGCATCTCTTGTTCCGCAGCCATGACTTCAATTAGTGGATCTGCAAAAGGCAAATGAGTCAACGGAATTTTCCACTAAATTAAAACGATTTTTCCCCTTAGAAATCCAATGAAAACAAATTTCAAAGCGATTTCTAACTATAAAGAAAGTTTCGAAGGGTTTATCGATGGCAAAACCGAACGTTTTTGCGTTTTTCTAATTTGAAGTTATTTGTCTGGCGGTAAAAACGTATCATGGGAATTTGACATTCACGAACCGAATTTAATATTAATTTCCTATTACACTAACGACTCAATCACAAAAATAACGACGCGGAAAGTTATATGATTACGAATAAAACTCACCCTAGCAACCAAATTTAATAAAATTCCACGATGGCACAGAGATTCACGGATTACTGTGGCGTTCTACCAAAGTCGTTAAAGATCACAATGGCGTCCACAAGGATTTGACATTGATGAGGTGCATGCGCTGTATTTGACGGATGGTTTTAAACTTTTGTTAAGTCAAGCAGGACGCTTTTTGGTTAAATTTCGGCTAATTTTTTAAAAAATGGATTAACCGACGAGCAAATCACCCAGAACTATATTTGCAGTTGTAACAAAAATTAAAAAATATTTATCGATGACGTCATAAGGACATTTGACGTCATGTGAGCATGCGCCTTCCAGGGACGGCACTGCAGAACTCTATCGATTTTTGTGTGGTGGCCGTCCGCTCAAGTTGGAGGATTTGTCGGGTCTAGTTCTAGTTGTAGTGCCGTTTGTGTAAAATCAATTGAATGGGACCGTGTTACAAAACTGTCGTGTAGTGTGGTGTGTACTTAAAAACGGGCTAAAATGACCAAGGATAGATTAGCAGCCCTTGTTGCGGTAGGTCTAACTGTCTCTTTTAATGGGATATAGTTTTCCGTAGGTTTTCATTGGTAAAATTACCCCGAAAATGAAACAGAGTAATACAACTTAAACGTATTAGTTATTTCGCTCAAGTGCTATGTCGGATAATATCCATATTTACGGTAATGATTCAACTGTTGCTAAAAGTCAATTTGTCATTTAGTAACTAGGTTAGGGGAAACATTTGTAAATGTCAATCAGTCATGCCCCACCCCTCCTTCCTCTTTGGACGTTTTGAAATAAGGCGCTCATGCGTTCCAACAAAAGTAACATTATATTAATATTTATTAAACATTGTTTCTGCAGGCTCAAAGTGATGACGACGATGTGGGACCCGACGATGTCGCTGTCAATGTTGAAGGGCGCGATGGCTTTATGGATGCCTTCTTTGGAGAGGTAAAATTTTATTGAAAAGTCTAAAATAAAGCTATTTTTGTTAAAGTATGTTTGCCTGGCAGCGAAATTGTTATCTGTTAAGTGGTTCTCCATGTCCTTCTTTTTTATCTATTTTTGTTCTTAAATGCAACATATTTTTATATAATCGTAATTTTTTAAATTGTTTAACAAATGAAACCGTAAATTTCAGGTGGAAGAAATACGGGAGATGATAGATAAGATTCAAGCAAATGTCGAAGAAGTGAAGAAGAAACACAGTGCCATTTTATCAGCACCACAGAGCGATGATAGTGAGTAGATATTGTTTCAACTATTTCTTTTTTGCTTGTTGATAACAGATTATCAGGCATGTATTCAACAAATTATTGGGTAGGGAACTCGATAAATATGAGCAATAATTGTTTGATTATGGCCTATCGATATTACCTAGTTCTGGTTATAATTTTTAAGAACTTTGTAAAATGCCTTCCACATACCGAAATGAATTTTTTTTCAGATGCAGGATAAAAGTCTAATAAGGAAAAAAAGTTGTTTGTTCTGTCATGAAAAAACATATATTTAATAAAATTCTGATGTACAGCTAATCAATATTAGTGAGATAATTTTTGTTGTTCTTAGCGACTTACAAAACTTTTTCATATAAAAGTGATTGAGGAATTCATTTTTTTTTTACCAAAACAAAAATCTAATAGCGAGTTTCACAAAAAGCTTCTCGTAAACGAAGCAATACAGACCACACATTTATATGGTAACTATTTACCATAAAAGTATTTGAGAAATTGCTACGTAAAATATCAGACACTTATTAAACAATACCCCGTATAACGGCTGTACTGGGTGGCCCAGGGATTGATTTTTATAACCCAGTTCAATTTTTTTTATATATATTAACCACGGTTAGAGTGAGTACCTTTTTAAATCTGATACAATTTAAAATTCTTTTTCAAAAATAAATAAAATTGCTTAATAAATTAATAAATAAAACGCCTATATTTTTAACTTTACAATTTTACAACAAATATAATAAATAAATAAGTGAATGAGGTAACAAAAATTGATAAAATTGACAAGGCTAATCTATATTTAACAAAAGTACAAAAACATAACTTATTATATAATTTCCATTAATAGTTTATTTTTAAATTATTGTTTAAAAGTTTTCGAGCAGGCTTAACGCCTTTTTAATAAACTAAAAACAAGAGATCCTTATTACCGCTTTTTTGGAAAGGATGGCATGTAGGGGAAGAATTTATACAAAATGTTAAAATGATTTTTTTTTGGTTTTAACTAAGTGCAACCGATTACGCGTATTTTCCTGGACAACCGGTATATAGTTAAATTTAACACACTGATACAAGTTTGATACAAGTTTAAAAATTTCTATATGCCGCAAGACGACTGAAAAGGGGGTAGGCAACGTAAAAGCACCGTCAGCGTCGCATGAAATCGATCCTACATAATTTGCTCCAGTTAAAATGCAAAGTTTTTGCACAGCGCGATGTCGTCGAGGTAAATTTTAAAACGTCAAAAATGGATGTTTCTTTCGAACCCGTCTCAACTGTTATAATTTCGCGTATAAGTATGCGTCAAGGTACGTTGTCCAATGACTAACAAATGCAAATGCGAAATCACACTTGGTAATTAGAAGATTTTAAATAACCGCGTATGCGGCTATATGAAAGCTTAATTTATGAGCCGAATCTATTTCGGTTGCTGACGGGAATAATAAAAAACTGGAATGCTTTAAGGCAAGCGTAAATAAAAACAACGGTGAACCTGAAGTTTCTTTCCTTCCACGCAGATCTCGTACTTACCGGCCGATCATTGTGTATCCCATATATAAGGTGGCCCACTAAAAATTACTTCGGTATATTATCGAAAAATGTAATTAGTAAAAGCTTGAAAATTCCAAATTCTTTTATATACCGGCGGCAATACTGTCTTTACTGTGCTGTGTGTTTTTTTTTTATAAAATATCCAGGGTGTTCGAGAAATTTGAAAATTCTTTGGGATTCAGATAGAACACGAAGAATAATGATGTGCTTCTATATGAAACATATTTAGCGGATTGGTTAGTTTAGCTTAACGAAATATTTAAAAATTTTAATATTAAATTAAAATATTCAACTTAAGAACAATAGTTCATTTTGTCTATATGTTTTTTAGGTTTTTATCATGTATTAAATTCTGTTAAGTTGTTCAAGAGAAGGCAATTTCTAGCGGCGCCTTTAACGGACTCTTCGTAGGGTGGATCTAAAGGAATAAAAATTATAGGAACTTATCATTTTACTTTATTTCATGTTCTATCTTTATCCCAGAGATTTCCTGCAGTTTCCCTAATACCCGATATAAAAGAATACTGTCTAATTCTTAACCACCAGGCCCGCATGTAATTCTCTGATCTGCAACCTGTCATTTTCGAAAGAAAATGTTAAATATCTAGCCAGGTAGATAGACAGAACATTATGCAAACAATGTGTGCAGAATTTTCTATAAAATTGAAAAAAAAGTTGCAATGTATAGGGTGTTTCATTTCAAATAAGCAAGTTTTCGTAGTAGATCGACCCTGTATCTAATTTACTGCGGCCTTATGCCGCTGAAAAATTAATTTATGAAAGTAACCAATACCGAAAAGCTTAATCAAAAATTCAATTACAGAATTTATGGGAAATCTTGTTAAATCCGAAATTAAAAATTAAGCCCGACTAATTATACGAAAACCTTTAGCTCGTGCTTCGTCGGAGAGAAAGCCGCAGGCATTCTCTCAGTTTCCGCATTTCGACGCTTAAATCCCGGACCTCCGCGTTTCATTAACTTCCGGAGTTTCGCATACAATAAGGGCCTTACCGAACGTGGCCGTAACAGGTAGATATTCATCGATACGGCGAATTTGTAATTGATAAACTTTTGATACCGCTGTGCTCGATACTTGCTTTTCTATAATCATTGCAAATTATTTTAATTTCCTGGACCAACACTGTGACGTTGCCCGTATTAAAGTTTTGCGGCAAATATGCAACCACAGGGAAAGAATAAAGAATAAAATGATACATAATAAAAATAGAAAATACAAACTTAAATCACTTATGAGTAGCCTCCAATGGAACACAAATAACTTCACCCAGAGAATCAAAAATTAAAATGAAGTTGGCACCCTGGTTAGGGAAATTTTCCACCTTTAGTCTTCTTACGTCACACTTACGTATTTACGTACCAGAATTTAACACAAAACTGGCTACATTGACTGGTTAGGGAAATTTTCCACCTTTAGTCTTCTTACGTCACACTTACGTATTTACGTACCAGAATTTAACACAAAACTGGCTACATTGACAAATAAATTAATACTGTGAAACCGAAACATTTTATTTTAAAGGTTAAGACTAGAAATCAAATTTTTAAAAATAAAATATTTTTGGCATTTACAATCGTATAGCAGCACCTGAATCTGTAAGTTGGAGAAAAACCGAAGCATATTAACTCACACAAATTTTTTGAGAAAAAAAAATCATCAGAATGTTTTCCATAGTTTCATAGGTCTAATATTTAACTACTATTTAAATACTTAAGATGGCATTCTTTTTAATAGTAATTTTGTAGGCCATATAATATTACACGCAACAAACAAATTGATAATAAATATAGCTATACCACTGCAAAATAGTTACACAAATATATATCTGGAGTCGACGTCGAATAGCCAAATAGAGTTTGAATATACCCTCTTTATTACATTCATAAGCATAGGGTATTATGTCCGATTATCTTTTTGATAGATTTTAGTTTTGGTTTTAGTTTTGTAATTTCTTTTTTTGCGAATTTAAGAGATTTCTGTGACTTTTTTTTTTAACATAATATCCCAAAAAGAAAATGATAAGTTTTATCGGCCATGGTTCACTTGGTCCAAACTATAGAACATTATCCTACCGATATTGCCGCTGAATGGAAAATGCATGTAGACTGGTATTGCGCCATTGTTACTTTATCCGAACTTGGGGCCTGCTAAAGTTTTCCATCCGGTCGTTCTATTGTCTTGATTGTTTTCTTCTCTTTGCGCAATTGATGCCGTCTTTCTTAATCTTGGAAATAAATAGAGCTGATTATTTTGATGGTGTTTGATATTTAATCTGAACTAGTCAGTGTTCTTAAACGTAGTTAGGAAATTACGTTATCCAAGTATATTTTGCAATGGTATATGATGCAATAAGCTCGATAAACCCCAAGATATGGGGTTTATCGGGATATGGGATATGGTGGCAAGATATTATTGCTCGTTAAACTTTCGTGAAGGCTAGTTGAAGTACATTCTAGAAAAGGACGAATAGTTGTTGTATACACCCAAATGGATCCGTAAAAGAGGGTTCATTGGCGTTTGAGGATGGTGAAGAAAGAACTGTTGTCCTTTGGTATGTTCTAACGAGGTTTTATTACTCCGCACAAATTATACAGGATGCCCGGAAGTAACGTTCGAATAATTTAAGGTGTGATTTTATATGATAACGTAAGACATTTTTTTCATATGAACGCGGGCCCGGAAATGCATGCATGCATAGTTTTCAAGATACAGATTGTCAAACTGGGCTGAAAATTTGAATTTAGTTAGTGATAAATTAGACTCTACATCAAACTGCCACATTCCAAGGAATCTGGTTAACGGTTATTAAAAATATTAATAAAAAAATTATAAGAATATGTTGCGAATTAGAAACATAAGCAATAATTTTTTCTCTCTAAAATAAAGCAAGATACGGAAAGAGTAACGAGACAAAACATTCATAGTTGCTTATTTAAAAAAAATAGGTAAAGAGTCAGTGGTGCACTCTTTTTTTTGGCAAATATTCAATAGGTTATTCCCGGGACGCCACTACAAGTTTAAGATATTTTGCGTTTTTTTTTAATTGTTTTCTCGTTAATGTCTGCCTATCGGGCTTTGTGATCAGTCAGAAATTTGTGTTGTAATTGAGTTTTTTTAGAAAACCTCGTTTTTAGATATTGGCGACCAATATCTAGTTTTACGAGGTGTGTTCAAAAAGTAAGGTGGCTTTTGTAATTTGGCCGGCGATTTTCTGCTGTCCAAAAAAGTGGAACAAAGAATTTTCATAAAATTTTGTGTAAAAAATAGAATACACTGCCGCGAAACACTTTAAATCTTAGCAACGGGATATGGTGAATCTACTTTGAGCAAAAAAAAAATGTTTATAAGTGGTACAAGCAGTTCCAAGATGACCGACAAGACTATCATCATGCTTCAGCCACCATATTCACCGGATATGGCCCCCTGCGACTTTTT